TGAGGCAGCTTGAGAACCGCATCAAAGCTTCTTGGAGACGTCAGAGCCACAACCAAGGTCGCCTGATGAGAGGGACTGTGCTGCTGCCTTTGGGAATACCCAAGCATATATGCAGCTCCTGGAACAAATGCGTAGAACCTGGAAAAGGATGCGAGTGATTTAGCTGGTTGTTCCAGATGGGCTCGAGATAATCGCGCAAGACGGCGTGGCTACATCAAGCATTTATTCAGGTGAAAACACATAAACAGAGAAGCAAAGTATGGATAGTTACTCAGGAGGTAATACTTGCCAGCAGGATACTGAGGCTGAACATGCTCGCGAGTTGGCCGACTAGAGGGTTGCTGACAGGCTCCTAACTTGGCGGGCGTCCCCGCGGAGACAACGTCGGCCTCGGTGTTAGGAGTCTCTCAGTCCCTCTTCCCACACAGTCTTTTCTACCACGCTGCATCCTGCCACGTAGGGCCAGTACGTGCCAGGAGGCACGGGAGGCCGGGGGGGCCTTCAGTTGCACGACCTTCCCTCCTGGGTGCGCAGGCGCGCGTACCCACAGGGGGTCCCAGCCCTCAGTCTGAAGCCCCTGCCTTCCTCATCTTCCTCCTCCTCCTCGGGTGTTTGTTTGACCTTCAAAACTAGTTTAGAGGACATCTGCGGTTAAGTTGGCCACAAGCCCAGTCAAGCAGCTGCCTTCAACTGGTTTTGGAGGAGGTCGGCTGTAAACCTGGCTGAACAACCATCTCCATGTTCCTTATGTTCAGCCCGGATGGGCAGACATCTTCTTTCTCAAGGTCTTGATTTTGTTTTGCACAATAATCTTAGGACCTTACAGATCATAAATAATCATAAAAATTTCTAAAAATAACTAAAAATTAGGTTAATTATTATCTTTCAGTGAGGATCCTTTGCTTACCAAGAATGTCAAGGAGTAGACAGATTTATATCAGCAGGCTACCTTACAAGCTTGGGACTCAGATAAAGAAATACAGAAAATAAACCTTTAAAAAGACTCAGTCTCAAGGTGGAACAAGGATAAGGTCTGTGGCTTTGCCCCAGGGTATTGAATTGACAGATAGCAGCTCATATAAGAATCGGCCTCTTCAGTAGAAATTTGTTAACCAAGCCAAGTCACCTTTCGCTTTTTAACATATAAGTTTATTTTGCCTGCACATTTACGTATCTGAAGTTTTTTTATGTGTCTGTATTTGGAAGCACTATTAAAAGAAAAAGTTTGGGCTTGAATAGCGATCTATAACAGTGATATCATAGGGAGAAAATATATCACTGAATACAGTGAATGAATAGTTTTCTCACACTCGGTATCACAAAACAGTGGCTATTTATTGTGCAGTTTATCTTACGGGAAGTATTTATATCACTTTCTCCAGAAACTGGGTGTAAGGTGCTTAGGTCAAGAAATTACCCTGTTAAGGCTCCCCTACGATAGAGACTGGCTCCCTCAAACAACCAGGGTTAGGATTCTGCTCTAAGAGGCCCTCTGAAGCTCCACTGATTAGGAAGCATCGGGAGACCAGGTTCTTAATTTGACAATTTAAATTAAAAGATTTAATATTTTTAAAAATAGATTTAAAATAAAAAGATTTTAAAATAAAAAGATTTAATAATCAATAGATTATGTGTAGCCCAGCATCCCCTTTTGTTTCAAAACGTTTTAATGCAAACAAAAATGCACTAAGTTTTGAGAGAATGAATACACATGAAGACAGATGGGTAATCTGATCTTATAAAATCATATTGATTGAAGATTTTTTTCTGCTCAGAAATTGCAGAATTGAATCTGTAGTTATGCAGAGCATTGCCATACATGGAGTTTTCAGAAACTAAAGCAAAATCTCACCATCTTGCAGCTCTTCGCAGTCTTGAAGGTACTTTGGGCCACTCTAGCTTCATCTGCATAGCTGGATTAGAAGCAAATTGCCCTGTTGCAATCTTAGTAGCAATCTTATATTCCTGGCAATCGTGACCCCATTTTACAGACCCCTATTAGAGGTAAAATATATATATGTTATGAAACAAAGTAGACCATTATTTTTCATTTAAATTCGAGATGATCAAATCCAAATCTTACCAGCGCTTTGTGGGGATTTATTGTTGAAGCATCAGCACAGAGTTTCCATCTGCTTGATTCGGCGATGCTCGAAACAAACATCTGTATCCTAGCGCTCGTGGGCTCTATATCAGTGTAGAGCACGAGCTTGAATCCTTCCTGGTGCTTATTTTTTTGGATGGCACGAAGAACTACAGCCAATATTGGTGGTTTAATGTCACCCAAGAATTTAGGCTTAAGCCAGAAGAGAGGAAATAGAGACCATATAAGTAAACAAAGCATTAAAATGGCTATATCAAAATCTTAATAAAAAAAATGTTTATAAAGGGGAAATTTTGTTTAAAAAGTGTTTTTTAAGTATTTAAAAGTCTTTCCATGTCCAAGTGATGGGAGACCAAAAGAGGTAGTTTAGGCAACATAAAGCTGGTGAAGGCTTAGATGAAATTGGGAAAAGAGTGAGGTTCTGGCAGGGAAGAAAGTGTACGTGGCAGGAACGTCATGGCTTGGGACTGTGAGGAGCTTAGGGAAGCAATAAGTGTGGCAAAAGGGTTGGGGAGGGAGGTGAATTCAAGACACAAGGAAATGGGTGGGGAGAAAGTAGGACTTTTTTTTTTCCTTTCTGCAAGCTGCTCACGCTTAAAATGGGGATCTACTGGCATAGTGCAGAGAAAGGACCTGTTTTACTAAAGTAAATGTTTTACTGAGGTACTGTTTACTAAGCAATACTTATTCCTGGGTGTACAACAGTAAATTCTAATTTCATTAAAACATATAGTGTGTATTAGGCATATTCTAGAAAATTCTCAAATTGTTGTCCAAGGTTCTCATCTTTATAAAAGCAGGAAATAATTATACATAGAGGCTTAGTTTTTTTTTTTTTAAGTTTACATTAACTGGAAATCCAAAGTAAATGTTTTTACTTCCTTTAAATTAAGAAGACACTCACCTGAGATACAGCTGTAGAGATGTCTTCATCACTAGAAGAAGAAGAGGAGCTGCTGCTACTGCTACTGCTGCTGCTGGTGCTGCTGCTGCTGCTGCTATTCAGGACTTTCCTTTCTGGAACCTGAAATAACAGAAAAATCACCCTGAAGCAAGCTTTTACCATTGGAAATTGCTGCAGAAGTATTTTTTCACATTTTATTCTCAGTGATCTAAATCCTAATTGAAGTAAAGCTACTGAAAGCAGTTGTAGATCCTGCTCACCATATAAGCAGAAAATGTACCTGTTCATCGGTTGGCTTGAACCAAAACTGGTAAATAGCTAGATTGGCCTGTGAAAACAAACAGCACAGAAGAATTTCAAGAGAAGACGAGCAACTAACTTTCGACAACTCCATTAAAAAGTTCAGTATCAAAAACAGAGCAAAACAAAATTCATATCTTAAAAATATTTTAAAACGAAACTTTCTAAAATGTGACACAAGCTGAAGTGCTTCAGGAAGGTTAAAAATGGGAAACAGCTCTGCACTTCATCCATGCTGCAACAAACAACTACCCCTAGCAGTCTGTTTGCCCTTTCTGTGGTCCGTGCCCTGTAGGGACATACACTTTTTGTGAGTCTTCTCATAACCAGGAGGGACATACTGGGATTCTCTAGAACGACTGTGTTTTTAATTATTAAAGCACACGTTCCTGATTTTTGATACAAAAATATTCACTCCCAAGAAATACATTAACAGTCTTGCCTGGGTGAGTTACCTGTGGGTTGGAATATTCACTGTCCTCGCTGCAGTGCTTGTTTCCAGAGGGATGCTCTCCGCTGCTGCTGCTGCTGCAGATGTTACTGTTAGCAGAGCCAGAGGTGCTCCTGCTGCTGCTACTGCTGCTGCTGCTGCCACGTTTCCTTCCAGACTGCCTCGCTGCACCTTTCTCCTGGTCATTTCTGGGCTCCTTGCCATCAGGAGAGGAAGCAGTGGAAGAAGAGGATGAACTAGAGAAGGGGGCTGCATTGGGCTCTTTCCAGAGGTCTGTAACTGCAGCCTTGTTTTTACTAGGAATCTGTTTCTTATGGGACCGTGTTTTGTTTGTGACCTGCAAAAGCAGTTCAAAGAGTAATAGTTACAGCTTGCTGTGTAAAATTTCTCTCGGTGCCAGACAAGCTGCTCAAGCCTTGCAAAGAAACACAGCTTCATTGCCCCAGTCAGTGCAGAAGTTGCACCAGGACTCGCTAGGGCCACTCCTGCCAGCCAAAAGCCTCCCCAGTGCAGAGGGCTGGTCTCTGCTGGGTGCATCCCGTGGGTCCCCTCCAAGCCTGTGCTGGCCAACACGCCTATCATGGTCAGGTTTCTGACTAACCTCATCCTTGCTGTCCGAGATCGGTTCCCACATTGGACTTCAAGCCCTTTAAGCTCCATTTGTTGGAATTTTCCCCTTCCCCAGGCTTTTACCTTGAAGACCTTTTCAATGCCTAGAATCTTCTTCAGTTTAGCTTTAATGTCCTCGTATAGAGATGATGCATTCTTTTCTGCAGACCCCGAGTTTACCACGTCAATTATTTTGGAAGCTGCTCTGGATCCTGCCTGAATCTCCAGCTGTATTTTTTCAATATCAGCATCTGCAATAACTAGAGGCAAGATACTTATTTTCCAGAGCTACAGTTCTTGAGCAGCATTCACAGAAGTTAATAGACACGCTTGCTTTCATTACCTGGTTTCAACATTATTTTGGTTTCACGTTCTCCAATAAATTTGTGCAGGTACGTATTCCTTAAGAAAGCAGCATCTCGTGATTTTTGGCTGAGACAAGCATAACATCCCAGACTGGCTAATTTGCTGCAGAAGGTGTGTGCGTTTGATCTTCCTCCTGCACTGTGGTGATGTGTGTCTTCTGAGCTTTGCTGGTAGCCCTTCGATATCACACTAGGATTATTTTTTTGCTGCATTAAACAAACAAAAAAGTAAATAAAAATACTTTCCCCCCCCAAAAAAAGGTGCAGTTCTTTCCTTAATTCATTTTAGTTAGAATGACAAGAATGGCACCAGTTTTGCCCACATAAGGAAGTGTTGCCTAAAAGTAGAGATTCAAGCACTGGAAGCAGTTGCGGTTTGGCTCTGCAGAAGAGGGCAATTCTCCATCCCAGCCTTTCCCATAGAAGATTTTCACAAACTTCCCATCAAAAACCTGAAAGGACTCTGTGGAGGAGCTATTTCTCTGAACTAGTTTTCAGCTACTAGCCTTCCTGTTCCAATTCGGTATATTCCTCCCATGTTAGCAGCAGGTCTTAGCAGCTGAAAATCACTTAAGGGGCTTTTCTCTCCAGGCTTGGGAATAAAAACAACAATAAGACATGCTATCAAAGCAATCATATTTGCATAGGATGACAAGAGTGAGCAGACCTTAAGTGGCTTGAACCCACAGAGACTGTGGGTGTTTGGGGGTATGCCAGGTGCCTGTTGAATCACAGAGTTCAATGTTTGTGATTTTTTTTTAGCCAGTTGCTGGGTTGTAGATGCTCAGCCTCTGTGAGAAGTCATCTGTTCTCTAACCACTTGCTAGAGCGGGGGTCAAAGGCATCTTTACCTTCTCACTTTGCTCTCTAGAGGACATTTCTGCTGACTGAAACGGCTGCTCAGGGATACTCGGTACTTCTCCTTCAGGGAGAATATGGGATCTCTTCTCTGAATCTACTTCTATGTTTCTTGAAATAGCATAAACTTCACTTCTGTTGAGACAATAAAGGCATACAAGTAACACCTGATTTTGCTCACCCGTCCTGTCTTTAATTCTGAAGAGATATGGGCAGTGCTGTGCTTTTTCCATATTTTAATCAGCGTTAAGCCACCAAAGCAGCACTACCGCATCAACGGATTCCATGTCCTTCTCCTGACTATAGAGACACAGAACTTATTGGTACAGTTAATTTAAAAAATACATATATTTTGCTGATGCATGAAAGAAAGCATCATTATGTGCCTGTCAAAGTATAGCAGGGCCTAACAGCAGTTCTGTGTTTGTGATTTTATAACAAGGAATTGACAATTAGTTATATGTAACATGCAAAATGCAACAAATCCTTCTGTACCTTGCAGATGCTAGCTCAACCTCCTGACGGCAGGGAGTGGTTTCAAGTTTAAAACTTTTTTCTTTCATGTTTATCCTGGCATCAAATTTCATTGTAGTGTTGGCACTGAACTCCGCATGAAATTCAAGACCACTCTGGGCATACTGTGTATTAATCCCCATCATTGCAATCACATGAAAATATACTCTGAAAGAGTGGAAAAAATTACATATTAACATGCACATGTTTAAGTTTGAAATGTAAAATTTGATTTTTGTACTGTTCTTTTTATCTTAACAACTATTATGGATAGATAAAGGGACGTATCATGTAACAAGATAAGAACAAGTTGAAGTGTCACTGAAAAAAGTGGACATTTTTACTGTTCTATCATTGATATATTGCCTAAGGATCATCTACTACCATAATCTTTTATCAGTTTCAGACTGTGTCTAGTTTCTTATTATTATTAATATTGTTACTATCATTATTGCTGTTGTTTATGCTAATCCAGAGATGCATCTTCTTTTTCGTTCTGAAATTCCTCTCTTGTGATGACAAGATGACACTGAACTTGTAAAACATTGTCATGTGTAAACAAATACATCTTCACAGCTCAGTATCTGCAGTCAATACACAGTATAAATGGGAGTCTTTTTGGCAGTGGCAGAGCCCTGAAGCAGGGCACAGAGGCCGCTGCCAGGCTCGCAGGATCATGAGGTAGCACGTGTAGCACATGGCTCACAGCTTCACTACTCAGGAATAATGCCGCCACCCCAAATTTGTGACAAATAAGGCCTTTTTATAACAACATATTATCACATATCTGTTTTAAATATAAATGAATGTACATGCTGCGTGTGTGTGTGTGTGTGTATGTGTGTGTATGTGAAAATATATGTTGTCATTACTTTGGCTTGATATCAGCATGAAGCTCCATATTGGCTTCCAGCAACTGGGAAGCTCTAAAATTGCCAGATAATGGTGGTGACATCTGCATATCAACTGCAAGAGACAGAAAGGAATTGTATGAACAGATTAGTAATTAGTTCTGGTGACAATTTTTTTTTCAATAAACATAGTAGTTAGCACCTGGGTAGTGCTTTTACATTTTGAAATATTCTACACAATTATTCAAAGCTTCTTACGTTCCAGGCAAAACACACTAATTAGATCTCAAACCCTTTGGATGCAGCTGAACACTCGTATTTATACATTACAAGAGCATTTGTCAGGCTTTCAGGGGGATTTCGTTCCTGCAGAAGGATTGGGCCACAATTACTCCGGGGCAGGTTGGGAGGCGCGTGCTGTGCGGGCGCCCGGGGCTCACCGGTGGCCGCGGCCTGGGCCAGGGCGACGCCGTAGAGGCTGAGCTCGAGCGGCAGGCCCGTGGCTGTGGGGACGACGTGCCGCACCTCGGCCACCATCCCCGGCAGCATCAGCCCTCCAGAAAGGCCTCGGCGGGCCGCGTCCATCACCTTTTTCACCGCTGCCTGCCAGCTTGATGGTCTGGTTAGGCTCTGAAAACAGAGAAATAGGGTAGGTAGGTAGGAAAAAAGAAAAAGAGAGAGAAGTGAAATTATCCAACACCTCAGACCAAAAAGACAGTAGTGGTTGTCAGTACCGTCACAGCCTGCTGAATGACATCTTTGCCAATGTCAACACAGGCAATCTCCTGGCCAAGGATTTTCACATAAGCAGATACCAGAGGGTCTTCAGGAGGCAACTCTTTCCACCCCACAAGCTGTAGTATTAGAGAGAGATGTGGAAAAAGAGAAGAAGCAGATAGCGTTATTTAAAATATAATGTTGCACTAACAAAGACTGGATCAAATTTAAACTGTAGATGCTAACTACAGCTCCTTAGTCAGAAAAGCAATAGACTTCCCATAGCTCTGAACTAAAACAGTCTTCCTTATGGTGCATAACTGACTTCAGTCAGTTATGGGACTTTTTCTAATAAGGATATTTTTTTACAGCAGTAAGTAGTGTATGACACCCAAGTTTGCTCATGAGGAAAACTCCTATCCAATAATCACTGTAAAAGAGAAGAGCAATCCTTACTGCATTTTAATAGTCACTGCAAAACACATGAATTTTTGCTACCATCATCATCATCATCCTGTGCACTCTACACTGAAGACACACCTGTGTGTTGTGCTGACAGGCTGAATGAAAAGCTGGCATCCACTGAATATTGTAAGTGCAATATGAGGTCATCTTCCCATGACCACACACCACGACTTAACTCCTTTCTCACTGAAATATCAAAGGGATGCTAGGTGGGTAGGCAATGCAACACCAGCACTGGTAAACTGCATACTTTAAACACATCAGAAAGATGAATATATACATACCGTTTTACCAAGCTCTTTTAGAGTCTTGTATGTGTCATATTTAGTAAAGGGAATATTACGTTTCCGAATAATGTTACTTAGACTTTGTGAGCGGAAAGCCACCTGTAGGAAACAGTTAGGCATCACAGAGTAAGTGCAAGAAAGCCCAGGAATACCTTTGCATGTAGTAATACTTCTACTGAGGCCACTCTAAACACATAGTTCATGAGGCCATTACACTTACAAGGGTATGTCTACTGGCAGATAGCTGCAGGCTGTGACTGCAAAGGTGAGGATGTGCTGAGGTAGATTTGAAGTAGTCAGTGGGGGTAATTTTAGAGTAGCTCAAAGCTAGCACAGGTTATAAAGCCTGCCCAAGAAGCTGAGCTGCATGCTGTTACATGGAGCATCATGCTGCACTGGCTGCACTGCTAGTCAAAATGTAATTTCAGCTGCTGATGGCCTGTACTTATGCAAGATGTCCTAAATGTCATGTGACTTTAGCTAGGTAGAAGAAAGCTCAGCTGCCTAAGCTTTCCTTTGCTCTCCTATCTATACTATCATGTTTGATGCTAAATCTATGTGTCAAGATGCCCAAATACATGTGAAATCATAACCATGAGCCATATATTCCCTCCTGCATCAGTCCTCACTGCAAAGGATGGAGTTAAATGCTACATCAGGGTCCAAATGTCTTAATAAGCAATATTATTGGTAGCTGGGATTATTATTTTAATGAAATATTTACCTCAACAATATCTGTTGCTGTATTTGCATAATATCCTCTTACTTTTGTGACTATATCAGATGGAAATATAGTGCCAGGATTATTCATTAGGTAGACCCTCCAAATTGCACCAGCATTATATTCATCTATAACAGGAATAAAATGCAGCAGAGATTTTCATTAGCGTCTTCAAGATAACTAGTTTATGTTTAATGTTATGTTCATGCTGTATTAGATGACATTTGGTTCTGACAGTATTCAGTCCTACATGTCTTCAAATTTGTGACCCCAAAAGGAGAACTTATTTCTAGGGCAGAGTCAATATAACCACAGAGATTACAGGAGACCTAAATCCACATTCAGATATCTTTTTTTCCTCAGTAGATAACCCAAAGAGTAGTAGAATGTGTTTAGGGCATTCTGCATTTTAGGAGATTCTTGTGCTTTTTCCATTTCAATAATGCACTAAACCCACCATCCATTGTAGGATTTTGGATGAAAATTGTGGAACATGATAAAGACATTTCTGCCTGAGCCAAAGGAGTTCAACAGGGTATCTGATACTTACTGGAATAACCACCAACATGAATGACCTTGCTGTAACGATAGCTGAGTCTGTCAAGTCTGGGGCTTAGTAGCTTAATGGCAATGTTGCAGGCAGCAGATCTAAGTAATACAGAGCATATGAAGGTAGTTGACTGTAGCCAAATTCTTTGAAAACTATAAGAAAAATAACTGTCTGTTACCAAAAACTTTATGTTTTCCTCTACTTACAAATTATAGAGCTGTGGGATCCTGGCTACTGCCAAAGCCTTCATGTGTGAATATGTGAAACTGGCTAGCTGTAAGCTGGGCT